TGCAGGCCTTGATCGACCAGCTAGCCGACCTGCACTTCACGGCTTGCTGCGTCGGATCCTTGGTGAGCAAGGAGCTATGTGGTAGGAAAGTCAGCTTGAGTCGAGCTCTGAAGGCTGAGGTGGTCAAGCTTAGGGCTGAGAAAGCTGTCGAGGATAAGGAACGAACTACCCTGGAAAACCATCTGAGTCGAGCTCGTCTTACCGTGAAGGATGTAGAGGCCAAGACCAAGGATTAAAAGGACCTCCGGCTGAAAGCTGAAACCGAACTTGAGGCTCAGTGGTGGAAGTGGTCGAACTACGCTGACCTAAAGAAGGCCATCAAGGTGATGCCCGAGTTCAACGATGTGGTGAAGGGCTAGCCAACAAGAGCTTTGACTTTGCCACTGATGCCGTGAGGAAGCTGGTGCCTGACCTAGACGTCGCCTCAGTGTATCAGGAATATGAGGCGGCGCTGGATGCTGAAGATGACGATGACCTTCAGGTAGTGGACCTAGTCGACGGTCCAAGTTGACCCGAACCTTGGGGCTTGAAGCGCCACTGCTACTGCTATTTCTTTTGATGTTTCTTCTTTTGATATGTATTTTCCCTTTTTGTTTAGTTGAATCGGAGCGATATTGCTTCAGCTCAGTTTTGTAACAGCTGCGGTACACACTCCTCAAACTCATCTTTTTAACAACTCTAATGAAAATCGTTTCTTTGCTCATCTCTTTTGCTTTAATCGACTTGTCTGAATCCTAAGTGCATGAAAAAAGAGTTGGTCATGCATTTTTATGACACCACTAATGAATGGGGGAAGCGTGATCTGAGCCGGTTAGTGAGTAACTTCACTTCCAACTCTGATATCACTGCTCGGCCCCACTTAAGTTCTAGCTCGGCTTCCTTTCAAACGAGGTAGACTTAGATTAAAATAGGTCAACTTTATTGATGGTGTGTACAACCTAGTTACACTTTAGATTGTTTTACATCTATTGATGATAAATACGCAGATGCTGAGCATTCCACGGATGAGGTAGCTTGTTCCCGTTCAAGTTAGCAATAACATACGTGCCAGGTCGAACCACCTCACGAACTTTGTACGGGCCTACCCAGTTCGGCTCTAGCGATCCCACATGCGTCATCACCTTCTTGAGAACGAGGTCTTCTGGCTTGAACGAGCGTTGCTTAACTTTCGCATTGTAGTACCGAGCCATTCTGTTTTGGTACTCTACTCAGTGAAGTTGTGCTTGAGTGCGTTTTTATTCTAGGAGATCCAAGTTGAGCAGAAGCGTCTTGCCGTTTGTCATTTGGTCAAAGTTCTTAACTCTTATCGTTTGTAAGCCAATATCCACTAGCACCACTGCTTCCGAGCCGAACGCGAGACTGAATGGAGTTTCCCCAGTCCATCCTCGTGCTGTAGTTCGGTATGACCAAAGGACTTCTGGAAGCTCTTCGGCCCAGCGACCCTTCAGAGCCTCCAGCTTCGTTTTCAGCCCCCGCTTTATGATTTTGTTTATGGCCTTAACCTGCCCGTTGGCTTGAGGATGAGCAGGGGATGAGCTGAAGTGCTTGATGCTAAGGTCATCGCAGAATTTATTGAAAAGAGGTTGTCGAATTGCTTGCCGTTATCGGTAATCAGAGCATGCATTATGCCGAATCGACAACGATGCTTTTCCAGACGAAACTCTTGATATTTTGCTCGGTTATCTTTGCCAAGGGATCAGCCTCAACCTACTTGGTGAAGTAATCTGTGGCTATGATCGCGTGGCTGACCTGACCTTTGTTAGTGGGGAGAGGTCTGATGAGGTCCAGGTCCTACTGAGCAAAAGGCCATGGGCTTGATATTGGTGTGAGCAGCTCCAGAGATCGGTGCAGTATTGTGGCGAAGTGCTGGCACTTGTCACACTTCTTGACAAATTGCTTCGAGTCGCGATCTAAGTTCGGCCAATAATAACCTTGCCTAATTATTTTAAATGCCATGGACTGAGGGCCAGAGTGATTCCTGCACACCCCTTCATAGACTTCCCTCATAACACACTCAGCCTCATCTGAGTCAAGGCACCTGAGAAGGGGAAGGGAGAAGCCTCGCTTATAAGTTTTTCCTACGACCCAACTTCCTCGCCTCGACTCGGTCCTTCGGGACTTTCCCATTAAGGTAGTCCTTGATAGGATCCATCCACGTGGGAGTGGGTGGCTCGATGTCCATCAGCTCCACACGCTCGATGGAAGGCTCGCTGAGCATCTCTACGGGTACCGATCGGGGAAGCTCAATCTCGTACACCCAGGCTAATCGAGCTAGCACTTCGGCATTCGAGTTCTCCGATCTCGACACTTGACATACAATACAAATCCCTGAACTGGCCGAGCAACTCTTTCGCTTTGCTTAGGTATCGCTCCATTCGGCTATCATTTGCCTGGTATCCATCGTTTATCTGGTTAACTATGAGTTGTGAGTTACTAAGTATGAGGAGGTGGTTGACTCTCATTCCTCTCGCGACCCTCAACCTAGCTATCAAGGCTTCATACTCCGCTTCGTTGTTCGATGCTTTGAAGCTCAACTGTAGTGCGTACTCGAACCTTAGGTCGCCTGGACCGAGCAGCAACATGCCTGCTCTGCAACCTTTGTCGTTGGAAGAACCATCGACGTAGAGGGTCCACTGGGCTCGGTCATCGGCCCTAGGCCTATACGGGGTAAGCCCAGCAATGAAATCAGCTACGGCTTGCCCTTTCATCACCGTCATCGGTTCAAAACCAATGTCGTAATC